GAGGGGGGGCGGGCCCGGCGGCCTGCGGAGGGGACGGGATCCAACAGTGACAGTTTGGGGGAGGATTTTCGCTTCGCGAGTGAAGTCTAACTGGGGACTGGCAGGAACGCGGGACTCGGATGCTTGGGTCCCTAGGAGATGAAGGCGGGTGGAGGGTTGGTACTGAGAGGTAGGAGGGTCTGAGGGAGGAGGCGAGGGGACCAGGATCCTTGGGTCTGAGGGAAGAGGCTGGGCCCGGACCCCGGGTCTGAGGGAGGAGGTTGGGGTCTGCACCTCTGGCAACCCTGTAGGATGCCCGCATATTGGAGATCGGTAATTAAACAAACATAGGAAAATCTTTACTGTCAGCCCCAAGTTTATTTTTGAAGATTAGACTATTGGGATGGGTCCGGCTGACTCCTGTGCAAAATGGCTTCCTTATGAGCTCACCGGGTTAAGAGCTGTCGGCAAGATTTCCGGAGGTTGTGGAGGTCACCAGAGGTGCCCGGCCCTGCTCATACACAACAGTGGTCTGGAGGCTGTGGTTGTCCCAGGACCGGACGGAGCCTGTGCCTGAGGAAGGAGGGGTAAAGTCCCTGACTCCTGGTTCCTAAAAAATGGAGGACTGGCAGGGTGTGGTGGCACAGGCCTGTAAGAGGCTGAAGCACGAGGATCACCATGAGTTCGAGGCCAGCCTGAATTACATAGTTAGACCCTTTCTCAAAAAATAAACAGAAAGGACTGAACTCCCACCACCAGGGGCTACCAACTGGATTCTAGGTCTTGAGAGGGAGTCTGGAGCCTTGGAAGATGAAACTTCTGGAGAAAGCTGGGGGCGTTGTTTTGGAGTACCGAGGATCAAACCCAGGACCTGCGATTGCCAGGCAGGCATGGCCTCACTGAGATACACCACCAGCGCGAAAGCAGGCTTTTTAAGTGGAGCTGGAACAGGAAAAGAAGGGACACAAAGAAAGGCTCAGAAGTGGACATAAAACTGAAGGAGCCGGGTGGGGGGGCTGCACTCCTGTAATCCCAGCACTTCTGGGAGGCTGAGGCAGAGGATGCCAGATCCGAACTCATCCTGAGCAATTTATTAATTTGGTGAGAGACCTCAAAAAATAAAAAATGGGCTGGGAATATAGTTCAGTGTGAAGGTCCTGGTCTCAATCTCCAGTGCAAAAAAAAGAAAATAAAAACTCTCAAGAGTCTGCGACTAGAATGACTGCTTGGATTCTGGATTTTCAGGGGCACAGGGAGGCTAGGAATGAAACCGGGGGTTGGGGCTGGGACACAGGCTTGACTCAGGTTTAGGGGCGTGTTCTAAAGAGAGGGGCGTGGCTTTAAATCAAGGAGGGTGGCTGTCTGCGATCTCCGTAGAACTAGAACTGAGGGCCAGATCAGAGCACGCTGGCGATAGTGTACTGGGTCACCAAGACTGAGGTTACCCAGAAGGGGAGTGGTCAGTTGAAGGAGGCGTGGCCAAGGAAGAAAGCTGGGCTGTGATTTGTTTTTATGGAAGGATGGAGGCGTGGTTCAACTTTGCTGGGGCGTGGCTATGAAACAGGCCCAGACTCCTAGGTGAGGTCAGCAGATGGGCGTGGTTAAACAGTGGGGGTGTGGCTGCCAATAACGCTCCAGGCGTCCCGCGTGGGTTGAAAACCGAACTGTGAGGACTGTAACAGTCCTCCTTGGAGTAGGGAGTCGGGAGTCGGGGAGTCCAGCGACTGGCCTGTGGTCTAACATAAGGGCGGAGCTCGGAAGGGCCAGGGAGTCGGCAAAGGTGAGGCCTAAGATCGGCGTGTGAGGCTGAACCCAAAAGAGATTCGGGAAGAGGGCGGCCTACGAAGTATGTAAGGGGAGGGAATGGAAGAGAGGTGCCTTGAATGCGGTGTGGGGAGTTGTACGGACGAGGGCAGAGCCGGGCCAGGGGTGGGACTGGGGTGTCACGGGGCGGGCTGTGGGACGAGGGCCTGACCGCCTCCTCCGCACAGCCTTCCAGCCGCCGGCCATGTGGCATCCGCTGGTCCCGCTGCTATTGCTCCCCTGCGCCCTGCTGCCCGCCTCGTTAGCGGCCCCCATGGGCCACGATGACGCCCAAGAAAGCTCTTCGGATTTCCTAGGCCTCCAGAAACTTCTCCAAAGCTTCAGTCGACTCTTCCTGAAAGTAAGTGATGGCAAAGGAGGAAGAGGCAGAGAGAGAGACGGGGCAGCAGAAGAGAGGAAGAGGCAAGGAGGACCGATGAGGAGAGAAGGGAAGAATGAGCGACAGGGAGTTAGGCTGGGGGACTGCGGCAGAGGCCGGGCAGATACGCCTTGGGGGTGGGAGGAACGTGGGCGAGGCCCGGGCACCCCAGGAGATGAGGTCCAGTAGCTCACTGGTCACCTCTCTGACCCCAGGATGACCTGCTGCGGGATCTGGGCCGCTTCTCCGCCCCTGTGGATTTCCGGGGCCGCCCCACAGACTTCCATCAAGAGAAGAATCAGAAGCGCCGGCTGGGGAACAAGACCCTCTCCAGCCACCTCCAGATCGACATGGTGCCTCCTCCGGGAACCCTGGCCTGCAGACTCCCCAGCGCCCTTCATGCTGCGGTCCCATGAAGAAGGGGAGCTCTGCAGCCCAGTAGCTTTGTTTTCGTTTTCTTGCCCTGTCCTCACAGGTGACTGACAACAAGACAGGAGAGGTGCTCATCTCCGAGAAAGTGGTGGCCTCCGTGGAGCCAGAGGGAAGCCTGGAACGTCACCCTAAGGTTAGGACGTGGCCCAACCCGTGGGGCCCAGACCCCAGCATTTTGCATTATGTAGGAGGAGGGGAGAGGAATGGAGCCTCCTGAGTGCAATTTCCTTTTTCTAGGCCTCAGTTTTGTCCTCTGTCAGAAGGGACAAACCAGCCCAGAGATGAGGTTCACAACCTCAGAATATATCCATCATCAACTGTTGAGTAAAGCACAGAGGGTTTTGTGAGCTCCAAGTGTTCTGTAGACTAAAATGTGCTTTTAATTGCAAGGACTTTGTAAGCTCCACCCCATAAACCTCAAAATACGTAGTATGTGTTCTCCCCCATCACTTAAAAAATCTACCACAAAGTGCTTGTTAAACTTCTCCCTTGGAAACTTCAAAATGTGAGCTTTAACCCTGGACTTTTGAACTGAGGTATATCCCCAGCCCTTTTAATTTTTTTCTTTTTTCTTCTTTTATTTTCAGGCAAAGTCTTTCCTAAGCTTCCCAGGCTTGGATCAAACTTGCAGTCCTCCTGCCTTAGTCTCCCAGAGTGCTGGGATTATAATTGTGTGCCACCACATCAAGAACAAAATGTGTTTTGGGGGGCCAGGTGTGGTAGCACACACTTGTAGTTTCAGGTCTCAGGAGGCTGAGGCAGGAGGACTGCTACAGGTCAAGGACAGCTTGAACAACATAGTGAGACTTTGTCTCAAAAAACAAACAACAAATAAGCTTATGCTGTGTATGGTGGCCCATGCCTATCATCCCAGAATTTGGGAGGCTGAGGCAGGAGGATTGCTGTGAATTCAAGGCCAGCCTGGGCTACATAGCACAATCATGTCTCAAAAAAAAAAAAAAAAAAAACAACCCGGTTTTTATTTAGCTTAGAGGTTCTGCCACCTGCCTCACAAGCTCAAGGACCCGAGTTCGATCCCCCGTACCAAAAAAAATTGCAAACAAAAACAAACAAGATAAATAATATATATTTTAATATATTATATATAATATATACATAGCTTTATATCTGAACTGTAATACATTGCTGACATCAAGATATTTCACCCCTAATTTCTTCCACATGATCTTCTAAGAATAGAATATCCTCCCTTGTGACCTAAGTACCACTTTTATGGCCAAGAATATTAATGTTATCAAACTTACTTCTGTATTACCTTATTAGGGGTGCTGTAACAAAAGACCACCAATTTGGTGGCAGAAATGATGGAAATTTATTGTATGTCTAGAACTTAAGCATTCAAGATCAAGATATCAGCAGTCGTGGCTCCTTTTTTTGTTTTTTTCAGTACTGGGGATCAAGTCTGCATATTTATTATACAGAGCTATACCCCCAACCCATTTTTAATTTTTTTATTTTGAGGCAGGGCCTCACTAAGTTGCCCAAGCTGGTCTGGAATTTGCAGTCCTCCTGCCTCAGCCTCTCGGAGTACTGAGATCACAGGTGTGCACCACCTGCCCAGCTTGTGGCTCCTTCTGAGGACTGTGAGGGAGAATCTCTGCCTCTCCCGTGGCTTCCGAAGTTTTGCCGGCCCTCTTTGGCATCCCTTGGCTTGTCTCTCTGATCTCTGATCTCTGCCTGCGCCTTTGCCCGTCATCCTCCCCTTTTATTTTTTTTCTTTTGAGCAAACTTTCTTTCTCCATGAGGACACACTGTTAGATTAGGGCCGAAAGGAAGATTTCATCCCAAGTAATGAAATCTGCAATAACACAAACTGAGGTCTCCAACAACTTTGGACAGGATAACAATCTCTCCCACAGGGCTTCTCAGACCCCAGTTTGTTAAGTGCTGACAGTGGGCAGAGCAGGTGACGCACTAATTTTCGTGCCTTGCACTTTGAGTAGTGAGGAACAGAAGGACGTTCAGTCCCCCATCAAATCCCCCACTTAAAGCTGTCCTTAAAGCTGGTTTCATTTTTGATCAAGGATTCAATCAAAGATCCTACAATGCATTTACGGTTGTGAGTCTTTGGTAAACCCAAGAGCTTTCAATCCCAAATCCTTTTGTATATTTCAAACTGCCTTCTAAACCTCAAAGAGTGTTTTATCCTAAAGTGTTTTGTAACCCAAAAGTCATTATAAACCCTAAAGTTCTCTGTTTACCTCCCTTTTGAGATCCCCAAACATATTTTCAATCCCAAAGTATTCTATAAATCTCAGTGTCTTTAATTCTGAAGTATTTGCAAATCCAGTACTTTGTAAACCTCGGAGAGCTTTTGAACCCCCAAAGCAGCTCCCTGGCAGCTGTAAAGTGGGGTGAGCCGAGTGTTGGGTGTGCTCTGTGGAGTGTGAGCAAATCTCACCCCTTGTCCTCCCCAGGCTCCCAAGGAAGCCCCAGTGTCCACCGGAAGAGCCATGGGCAGCTTCCACCCAGAAGGCCAACACCACGTGGCCTTCTGGATCATTAAGATGCCACAGAGGAAGTCGCACCAGGATGCTCGAGAGGACGGTAGCTGGCTAAGCGAGAAGAAACACCGCCTGCAGGCCATCCGGGATGGGCTCCGAGAGGGGACCCACGAAGGTGTCCTTGAAGATGGGACCCAGGACTCCTACTCCAGGCTGCCTGCCCGCAAGACCCACTTCCTGTACATCCTCAGGCCCTCCCAGCAGCTATAGAGGTGGGGGTGGGAGCCCTGCATAGACTCTCCAGGCCTCACCCCCAGCACCACATGGAAATAAAGAGTTCTTAACCTAGAAGCACTGTGTTTTCGGGATCTGTCCTGGGCCACATAGGTCCTGGCCCCCAACCCTAGTGCCAAGCATGAGGCCTGGCTGTCACAGCTTTTGCCGAAGTCTCCAGGTTTGGTTTTCTCATTCAAACAGGATCTGCCTCCTAAATGAGCCACTAAGACTCCAGGCCTGTCACCTCCAGCCCCGTCTGCCCTCTCAGCCCCCAACTCTTCTCCCAGTCCTGTCCTTATTCTCAGCCCCTGTATTAGTCTCCTGTAGCTGCCATAACAAGTGGCCACTGACTCAATAACACAAATGTTCTCTAAGTCAAAAATCCAAGGTGGCTCAGCTGGCCGTCAGTCTGGGTTTCACAAGGCCAGAATCAAGATGTTCACCAGCTGGGATCTTCTTGGGGGCCCCTGGAGAGAAGCTGCTTCCCACATGGGTTTCTGGAAAAACCCAGTTTGTTAGGCTTCTGGTCTGTCCTCGCTGTCAGCTATGACCTCGTGTCAGCTGGGCTTCACCACCCTTCTCTCCTGGTGGCCTCGTGACATCCAATCTCGCACTTGGTATCTCTCTCACCTCCCCTCCTTCACCCTCATCTCTACGGCTTCCTCCTCTCTACCAGACAGAGACAGCTCTCTGCTTTGTCTGCTTTTTCAGTGCCTGGAATGGAACCCAGGGCTTCACACACGCCAGACAAAGTCTTCTACTGCTGTGCTACAGCCACAGCCCACAGTTCCCTGTTTCTTAAAGGCTCCCAGGACTGGACTGGGCCCCCTGTGCAGCGTATGCCCAGCTCCCCTAAGAAGGCAACACCTTGGGAGAACCATTATCCTGCCAGCCTCAGGCCAGCCCCATCTCTGACATCCACAGCCACTGTCCTCCCTCATCTTTATCATCCTACTTTCTCTCACTTTGCAACTCCCTGCATCTCTGACTTGCTGTTTGTCATTTGCTTGTCTGTCCATCCACGCCCGCTAGCGTGAGCCTGGCCCCTTCCTACTTCCTGACTTCCTGTCTCGTCATGTGACGTCTTCCACCATGATGGGGCGCAGTGAAAGGCGGTTCTCACCAGAACCAAAGCCGTGCAGTTTAGACTTTCAGCCTTCAAACCTGTGAGCTAAATAATCTTCTTTTCCTTAGTAAGTACCCGGCCCAGGTATTGTGTTAGAGTAGTGGAAAGTGGACTAATACAATACCTGTCTCAGACTCCATCTCTGCCAGGCCCAATGCCTCAGCCAAATGTGGACGCTCTCAGGCTCTGTCTCTGGCGACCCTGCCCACTTTGTCCCTCCCAGAGCCCCCTGTCCTCTCTGAGACTCCTCCTTGGTGACACATGGTGGAGACGGCAAGTCTAGCTCTTTCGAGCGCAAAGCCCCAGGGAATAGCGTTGCGTCCAGGTGTCTCCCCAAAGGCTCTAGCAATCACAGGTGGACTCGGGGTGGATGATGGGATTACAGAAGCGGTACCGGGGATGGGGTCCTGTCAGGGGAGACAGGCCATGGGGGCGTGGCCTGAAAGGGTTTATCGCTGTCCCCGCCTCCTCCCTTTGCTCCTTGCTTCCCCACCGCCATGCTGTGAGCAGCTCTCCTCCACCAGGCCCCTCCCATGCCATCCTGCCTTGGAAACAGTTCACTCGGGACTGAAACTTGAGTCAGAAGAAGCCTCTCCTTTAAGTTGTGGGCACCAGGTATTGTGTCTCAGACACAAACTGACTAAGACAGTGTAGGCTTTCTGGTGTAGGCTTTCTCCCTTGTAGGGAGAACACCTCAAAGACAGACTCACGCACCCAGGAACCCAGCAATCCACGCATGTAAATAAAAGCAAAAGTTTTTCTTTTTGAAAAAAATTGAGGATTTTATTAGCAGCCGGTATCCACGATACATTATAGTGTTGGAGGAGGGAGCAGGAATAGGGAGGCAGAGCCTTTTCTGTGCCCTGGATTGTCGAAGGCTTCACAAGGCATTAAACCAACCAGAGAGGAGGAAGGCAGTACAGGGTGAGGGATTCCCCCCAAACAAAAGACCCAATCAAAAAATGAGCACAGGCTGGGGATTTAGCTCAGTGGTTTCACTGCCTGCCTTGTAAGCGCAAGGGCCTGAGTTCGATCCCAGGTACCAAAACAAAACAAAAGTACACAAAAAATGAGCAAGGGAAATGAACAGACACTTCACAGAAGAAGTACAAATGGCCGATAAATGCATGAAGAAATGTTCAACATCTCTGGCCATTAGAGAAAGGCAAATTAAATCAACACTGAGATTCCAACTTGCCCAATAAAGAATGAACATCATCCAGAAATAACATAAGCCAGGCGTGGTGGCACACTCCTGTAATCCCAGCACTCGGGAGGCTGAGGCAGGAGGATCGCTGTGAGTTTGAGACCAGCCTGGGCTTCATAGTGAGTTCCAGGTCAGTCTCACTACATAGTGAGACTCTATCTCAAAAAACCAAAAAACCAAAAAAAAAAAAAAAAAAAAAAAAAAGAAAAAGAAAGAAATAACATAAGCTGGTAAGGCTGGGGATGGGAGGAAGGAACCTTTTCTACATTGTCAGTGGAAAAGCCAATTATTTTTTGTTTGGTATGATTTTTTTGATACTGGGAATTGAACTCAGGACCTTGCGCTTTTGAGGCAGGAGGCATTGTCAGTGGAAACGTAAATTTCCACTATGGAAGTTGATATGAACATTCCTCAAAAAACTAAAACTAGGAATTCCATTTGATCCAGTTATTCCCCTAGATATCTTTCCAAGACAGTTAAAGTCATCATGCTATAGTGATCCATGAATTTACATGTCTATAGCAGCATAATTCATAATAGCTAAATCTTGGAAGCAGCCTATATGTCCATCAACAGATGAATGTATCAAGAAAATAGGACCAGGAATTTAGCTCAGTGGTGCTGCCGCCTGCCTTGCAAGCACAAAGACCCGAATTCGATCCCTGGTACAAAAAAAAGAAAGAAAGAAAGAAAATGTAGTATTTATACACAACGGAGTACTATACTGCAATAAAGATGGATAAACAAGTCATTTGAAGGAAAACGGATGCATCTTAAGACCATAATATGAAGTGAAATAAATTGGGCTGTTTTTGTTGTTGTTGTTCTTTTGGAACTGGGGATTGAACTTGGGACCTTTTGCTTGTGAGGCAGGCGATGGAACCACTGAGCTAAATCCCTGGCCCTGCAGTGAAATAAATTGGACACACAAGTTTAAGTATCACATAGATTCTTTTATATAAGAAATTATAAATAAATTATAAATAAAGAGCGAAATAAAGATAGGGAATAGGAAGTAGACAGATAGGTTTTTCTCAGATGGGAAGAGGATTAAGAGATGGAGGGAGGAGAGAGGGAGGGAAGGAAGGGGACGAAAAGGAATTAAGATGTGTTATACTCCTGTGGCAACTCCACATAAGGAACGTGAGTATTATATACAGCAAACATGCGCTAATAAAATAAATTTCAGCCAGGCATTGTGGTGCACGCCTGTAATCCCAGAACTCGGGAGGCTGAGGCAGGAGCATCGCTGTGAGTTCAAGACCAGCCTGGGCTACACAGTGAGTTCCAGGTCAGTCTCAACTACACAGTGAGACCCTGTCTCAAAAAAAACCAAAAAAAAATAAATAAATTTTAAAAGGATGAGGGTTGGATGTCACCACCTCTTTCACCTCTATTTCTCCAAGAAACTCTCAGAATGTCCCCCTAGCACCGAACCCCAGATTGATCCCAGCACCTTCCCCACAGCAGCTTCGCACTTCTGACTAAGAGGACTAACACCGGGGCTGGGGATCCTTGGTGTTACCCGGATTGTTTTTAAATTAGAAAAAAAGTGTTCTTACTAATCCACAAATACATATTGAGTCCCCAGCACTGTGCGACACTCTGAGTATTAAGCTGTGAGCATGAAAAAGCCCCAGTCTCACAGACTTAGTACGGGAGAGCGACGATAATGTACAGCAGGTGATGGTGGACGCTGTGTGCGACAGAAAGTGATTTCAAGGGAGCAAGATCTATTATAGATGGAGTGGCAAAAAAAGGCCATCCTGACGCATGAATAGAGGCTGAAATGAGCTAAAGGAGCAAGTTCTGTCCAGGGGACAGCTGGAGAAAGAGATTTTTCAGGTCGAAGGAACAGCAAATTCAAAGATACTGAGGTTGGAAATGACTTGATTTGACTGGAAACAAAAAAAGCCAGCTCAGGATGTTGGTACCCACCTGTAATCCTAACACTCTGGGAGGCTGAGGCAGGAGGGTCAGGCCACCCTAGGCAACTTAGCAACTTAGCAAGGCCCTGTCTCAAACTTTAAACAAGTGGCTGGGGATATACTTCATCACGAAGGACCCATGCTCAATCTCCATACGAGGAAAAAAAAAAAGAAAAAGGAGCACAGTTATTCATGCAGATGGATGGGAGATAAAGTTGAGACAGAAACAAGGCCGGAAATTCCCTTTTCCTTCTGACAGCCAGAGCGGCTGTGACCCAAGTGACAGCTGTCACACTCCTTTCCCATCACTCACCATGCCCTGCTCCAGGGACTTCCCGACACCTCTGAATTACTTTTCAGCTACTATTCTGTATGCTTGGATAGAAGCCATAGCTCAGCAGACAGCCGAAAGTCCCCTCCAGTGCTCCTGCCACTCCATGTGCTGTTGCCACCTCTGTGAGGAGTGGCAGAAAAGCCACACCCAACAGGACAAAAATCAGGAAGGGTCCAGGCCCTGTCGTCGATGTCCCCAAATCCCTCAACTCCAATGGGCCATGACTGACCCGGCTGGCTCTGCTAAAGACTCCTCAAAAGCCCTGTGACTTCAGCACCCCGGCCCCATCGTCACAGGCACACAGAAGCTGTCAACAGAGCACCTGCCCTCCCTGAAGTTCCACTGAATTGTCACCGAGACAGCCATGGCTTTCCTAGACCACCCCCCACCCTGAGGCCCCAGGAGATATCAGTCCTGGCCACGGCAGACTTGAATCAAACCAATCTGAGAGGATTCCACTCTGCGGCCACTCCT